GCTCTAGCGATATGGCAACATCAAATAAAATAATACACCGTAGATTTTCCAAATTCTAAACCCTAACCATTCCAAGCCTGTCGAACTCCTGCGCTATCCTAAAAGCTCCCGCCAAACCCCATTGTACCAGATGGTTGAAATTAGGTGCCCAATTAAGACTTTATAAAGGGGAAGCATAATTTCGTGCAAGGTTATAGAAAATGAAAGGATTCAGGTTGAAAATTCTTGGTTTGCCATAGCAATCGAAGATGTTTCAAAGTCATAAGCAGAAAGCATCAAAGGGCACTATCATATAAGCACAAACACCAAAGCTCGCGACATCCGTGGAGATGACGGGTTCACTAAAACTTACAACTGCGCAACGCTATACAAACAGCAACGCTAATTTATAAGTTGTTGAAAGTGTAAGTTTAAATATCTGAGATGAATTGTAGTTAAATTTGCATAATTAGTAGACGCTGGGATAGAAATTCCCATAATAGAAAACTTGCTTTAATTTAAAGGAAGCTCGTCGAACCCCTGTTACTCCAACAAAAAAACAGTCGATTGAACCCTGGTTAAAAACTACTCTTCTAGACTATTGAAAAACTAACAAAACGCTATGGCAACGAAATAAACCCATAAAGTACGAATACAATAAATACTATAAAATGAGGCCCGACTAATTGTATTAATGCAGCCGCAATTGCCCCATTACCAGTAATATAACCCGATTGCTGGCGGACTGCCGCATACTTCGATACTTGTCAAACGATGGGAGAACGCCCGAAAAGAAACACGAGAATATCGGTTGGAAACCGAAGACTTATCGATCGATAGTTAGGGGATCCCCCAAAACAGAAACTGCAGTTTCGATTCATCCGCTCTTGTAACTTGCGCACTGCGCATCGCACACACACACTCGGCGGGTTTCAAAATTCTCTCGCTTTACAAAAATCTAGATCACTATATCAATAATTGATTGATAACTCGCTAATTATACGACATAATTCGCCCAAAATCAATAGGATTCTGGTCCGAGATAAGATGAATGCACATGCAAAATCTGGAGCAGATTCAATCCCGCTTTCGTGAGATATCGCGTGCATCTAACAGACACACACACACACAGACAGACAGACATACAGACAGACATACATACATACAAATACCTATCAATATACTTACCGATCTTAAGATCGATAAGTAATAACCCGCGTCTTTTCGGGAATTGTGCATACGAACTTACAAAGCAGGAACATTTATTGCATACCAGCTAAAAACTGCACACCTTCCGTGAGCTAGCGGGTGGAAACCATTGCATTATATGACTTTACGAAATTAAATAAATAAAATTGGGCGGAATATTATGGACATCTTGTGAGGATAATTCAAATATTTGCAGTTCTTCCGGACTAGCGGATTTAACATAATATATAAGTTTATACCTGACAAAATATGAATTGAAAGATTTATAAGATTTTATACTTGCTCTTTACTCTTTACACTATATAGGCTTCCATCTCACTCCGTGAGGCACCAGACGAATAACAATGTCCGTTTGATGCAATGACTCTTTCAAGCAGTGACTTAGAAAACTGAAAATAAATATATAGTTTCATTATCAAGTTTTGGAGTTACACATCACAAAAAATGCTTATCAACAGAGGTAAAGCAAAGGTAAGTTAGTAAGTAAGTGGGTTAGTATCAATTAAAAAAGTGTTTTAACAAAGTTGAGTTACGTGAACAGTCAACAGTGAGTATTGTAGTGATTACCAATTTGCGAAGTTCTGTAATTATTATTTAACACAAAAGTAACACCGACACGATCTAAAATTAAACGCATAGAAATGTCCAACTATCCGCTTCAAAAATATCGCACCCCGGGGTCAATAATGATTGTATTGTTCGCCTAAAATTGGGACCGTAATTTACAAACTGTGATAGAAATCCTACACAGAAGATAGAAATCATAATAAAACTAGAGCTGCGTGCAGCTTTAACAGGCTTCCCGCGTAAAAAAAACTGAAGACGCGTTTGCCTCACTGGAGCGTGAAAGCGTGGTCAGTCATGCATAAAATTCGCAATTTATGATGGGGGACTTATTATCTGCATGTGATGTAAATTTCAAGTCTCTAAGTAGTGTCGTTCTCAAGAAGAAGATGAAAATGTAAAATCCGATATTGCTTACTGGAGCGTATCGCCGAGGTCACTCATGCGTGTCCTTGACATATCGTATCCGGAACATGTCCATTAATAATCATTGTTATGAATTTCAACCCAATAGCATGTATTAATTTTGAGAAATCGCAAAAAAACTGAAAACGCGTTTTGTTCACTAGAGCGTGAAAGCTTGGTCACTCATGCATAAAATTTGCAATTTATGATGGGGGACTTATTATCAGCATGTGATGTAAATTTCAAGTCTCCAAGTAGTGTCGTTCTCGAGAAGAAGATGAAAATGTAAAATCCTATATTGCTCACTGGAGCGTATCGCCGTGGTCACTCATGCGTATCCTTGACATATCGTATCCGGAACATGTCCATTAATCATTGTTATGAATTTCAACCCAATAGCATGTATCAATTTTGAGAAATCGCAAAAAAAACGAAGACGCGTTTTGCTCACTGGAGCGTGAAAGCGTGGTCAGTCATGCATAAAATTTGCATTTTATTGCTAGCTGAGAACTTCTGCACATTTGAGGTGAATTTCAAGTCTGTAGGACCAATTTGAAAAAAAAATAATAAAAATAAATAATAATAATAATAAATAAATAATAATAATAATAAAACACAGGAATACAATAGGTTCCCTGCTGACAAGCAGCGGGAAGCCTAATTAATTTGTGTTGTGAATGCACTTGTTGTACGTGATTGTGAACTCACAATCATGTCCGAAATATAAAAACTACGATATCCGCCGTGATAATTAATATTTACTAGTGAATAAAAAAGTGCTTTAAATATAGTCTAACAACATTAATTGGATTGTCGGCCGCCAAAACGATCGCGGTGACAAATAATTCACTGAGGCCTTCGATTACGACAAAATTATGAAATAAAAAAAGCCGCACTGTTCTAGTAAAATCCGAAAAAAAAAGTATTGTCACGGCGATGGTTTCGGCGGCCGACATCCCAATTGATGTCGTTCAAAATGACAATACTGATTATTCGGTGTCCGTTAAAAATATTCGATTAACTCGATTAAAAAATACGATTTTGCCCGCCAGTGATCACGGCGCAAGTAAATAATCATTGAATGGAAATAAAACTTCAACTTCATAACAATAAATTCCAAGTAATAGTTTCACATTTCATGCATTTGATCGGCGCTACATGCGAGCGTATTTTTGTACATATAAACCATTATGACACTACTGACATCTGCGAGTTTTAGTTCTCTCTGAAATTAATTTTCCCGAATTTTTGATGTTTTATTTCCAAATGCGGGTACCCGCTGACTACGGATTAATAGTCGACGTTTGAAATACGACTTGTAAAATATTCACCAACACCATCAGGCAAAGAGAGACGGGCTACAACGTAACCCCCATTGGAAAATCCTGGCTGCACCCCTGGATGCGGCAATATTTAAAATGCGGTATTTATTGGCTTAATTGTGTTCAATGAAACCTGCAGTTGCGACGACTTACGTCTTACGACAATATAAAATCATTACAACTCAAAATTACCGCGTCAATCAGCGGACTTGAAATGAAGAACAATGAAACCAAGTGTAACAACACTGAATCCGCCCCGCCGCAGGCCTGTCACTCTGATTCTTTTTAAGGTTTCACCGTTTGAAATATCCCAAGATATAGACAAAATACGAACGATTGTAATTTAAATTATTGCGAAAAAAAATCAATCGATATATTTTGCATTAATTATTTTATATATCGTCACATACCGAGAAAACGTCGTATGCGGCTCCATAGGTAGTTAGTTTCAAAATAGACAAAAGGTACATCGCGTGACAATTTACTGTGTTTCGATTTCAGTTACTATTATGGTATAATTTTAAGAAATCCTAACATAACACCAAATTTTGTGATTTACAATGTCTAAAAAGCGTTTTCAATCTGCTGCGAGACTGCTAAAACAAAACTTATGGTGATATCTTCCGTTTTATATTTCAATTTTAATATTTTATAATGCCGCAATCAAGAAATTGGGTTGCGGATTCACCTCTTTATCATTTATTTCTTCACCGATTTTTATAATATTGTATTCTAACTTGTTTGTGATTAATGTAAATTAGAAAGATTCAGAAGATTTTAAAAACATACTTGCTCTTTAGACTCGATGCATCCACCTCTCTCAGTGATGCATAATCGGACAAATAACTCCGCATGTCTTTTGATGTATAATGATAAACTGTCTTTTCCGCTTTCAAGAAGAGTTCAGAAAGCTGAACTTTATGCGAGATAATGAACTGCAAGTAAATTTTGTATAATATTGATTTGAATAAATATAGTTGTTCGAACTAAGTCATTATTAATTTTAGATTTATAAGTTACAGAAAATGTAATTTGACAGAGAAGCTATGCTTATACTTTGGATACATAAAATAAAAATATTAATTTTCAGTTCATTGACAAATTATTCAGATTTCCCCCTTATTTACTAACATTACTTTGGAATGATCTGTCAGTGTATAATATTGCAACACATCATATAAATTATATTTATATTCATTCAAAAGCACGTTGAAAATACGGCTATTAAGAAATGTAAATATCAAAAATAGGCGGAAAAGATAAAATTTAACAAATATTTCTGTTTCTAATTACCTTTACGCCCCTCGAAAAAATTGTCCACGCTCTTGTGATAAGCTATGCTTATTCTAAAGATACACGGACGACAACTTGTACTGATATTCATTTACGTTCATTCTATATTATTTGCAGATTTTCAATATTATAAATATTACTTATTCAGAATGATCTGTCAGTGTGCTATGTTGTATCTCATTATCTAATCTTAACTAGTGAATTATTTATTAGTGTGTTATATTTTACCTTCAAGTTCTCTATAGTCTTTCCTTCCCATCCCAGAGACCTGAAAATATACATCTATAAATAACTTCAGCTAAAGACATTTTAGACATTATATATATAAATATAAGAACATGACAGATCATAACTAGGTAATAAACGATAGAGAAATAAGGAATATATTCCCAGATTCAAACGCTAATGAACATAAGGCTACTAGCATAGGGATATAGGCTGACTATAGTAGATTTACAATTGGTGGGATCTCACGTATATATAGAAATTTTAGTTTTGGACACAAATCCCATTGTTAACCAGTACTAAAGGGTGTACGATTCCCGGTTATATTGATGCATATTGATGCACTTGATTCTACTCACTCATATAATATCGTTATTGGAAACTTAATGCGATTTTAGTTCGAAACACATATGAACACGAATGTCATGGTTAACTAGTACCAAAGGGGGTAAGATACACGATTAATCAAGTCAAGTTTATTTTTTTCCAACCAGTAATAAGTATCACAACCATAAAATACGACACAAAGAAAATTTACACCGTTTTACTGGGGAAGGGACGTCGCGGGGAACCAAACTGATTATCGAGCAGCGACACCAAAGCTCCTAATATCTAATTAAAAATGTAAGAATTCTAAAGTTTTGAAACTACTATATCTTATATTGACGGTGAGTGACGTATATAAAAGAGACCATTCAGTAGAAATTATATAGGAGAGTTTATATTAATTAAGCTCTTCTTAATACACATGATTAGGCATAACATGACGTGACCCGCACTAACAATGGGGAAATATGACATATATTTCTATTTCTCTATTTTTAAATAGTTATGAACATGGATGCTATGATGACATAGGACTTTTAGCAAGGGGATAAGAACCAAAAAGGAGTTTACACTTGGTTGAATATAATTTATACAGTATCGTTTTTGGAAAATTTAGTTGAAACACGAGTTCTTTAAGGTGTAAGATTAACGGCTATCTTAATTCACATAGTATGACTCACTCTTATAATATCATTATTGGAAATTTGGGACGATTCCATGAATATCAACTGTGAACTACCAGAGCGTACAGGTCACAATGAGCCACAGTTACATTTAAAAAATTAGCCTGATTACTTTATATAGTATGTTAGTTAGTGTCAACTATCATTTGTGGCAAAAACGCTCATCAGATTAATGAAAAAGGCCAGGACTACGATTTCAAAGATGTCAGACATATTAGTATATATAGACACCCTATGATAAACAACAAGTTAAACAATAAGTTTTAATATTCGCATGGTTATCAAGTTGGGGTTGTGTTTTAACCGAATTGCACTTAACGAGGCATAGTTCAAATTCTTCCAGTATCTCTGCAGATATACACTGCTGAGCTAAAAGTATCACTATGAAAAAATTTAGCCCCTGCGCTGTACTGACTATGTCATTATTCACCGGATATTGCTACAGTTAATTCGTATGACAGAATATTTAATTCCGCGATTCTACGAAATGAGCATGGTTTGGTTTAACAGATTTTGCCATAAACAATTATGAGCGCGCATTGGTGCCCAAACTGACAAAAATAAGATCAATTTAATGCATTCCTGTATCTCGACTATTGGGCGGGAACAATAAAAGTTTAATTTTTATTTCTAAAACATGGCCCTATCCTTATTCACTGGGCCGACTCAATAGCCAGAATAAAACGGTAGTTGTGCGTATTACGTTATTATGAAATTTTGAGATTGTAATTTTTAGAAAATTTCATTTGACACACACAAACCAAAACTGAGCTTATACTCAGTATATTGAAAGTAATATTTGTATGTAGATTTCCCGAAATACACAAAACTAAGAAAATTTGAACGAACAAAATTTATTCAGCGATTGCCATAAAATTTCAAATATTATAGATTACCATAAAATTGCTATTCATCAACTCAACAGTTACAAGTATATGTAATTATTCAATTTCATAAATTCAGCTTAATATTTTATAACATATCAGGTGTAGTTTTCAAACTGCACGAGTTGCAAATATTACAATAAAAGTAAAACACCTAATGAACTTTTATAACTGTTTCGTGGAGTATATGACTAATTACCTCTGATCAGTAACTTGTAGAATTATCACATTGTTCACGGTGGGGATCGCAAACTGGAGATCGCTATCCAGCAGAGAAGCGAGCAACGAATTTTAGGGGTCTCAAGAGAGTACACCAATTTGATACAAGGTACTATATTTATAGTACTATTTCGGACCTCAAAACAAAATTATTAAAACATGTGCAAAATCTAAATCTCAAATTTCGATAGAATGCACAGGATAAAATAAGCGCAATAACAATGTTGGCTCGCATCGAACTATTTAGCATTTTAAACGTGAACGTGGGTCTTACTTTTTTGAAATTTTGATTCGAAAGACAATTATTAAAACTTGTAAAAATATAAATCTCGAGGGAAAACACACGATCAAATATGTGGCATAACGATGCCGACTTTGATCGCAAGACCCGAGACGCGGTGCGCTCGCATCTAATTGTTTAGCATTCTAAACGAAAACAGTGGTGTACGGGAATAAAATAGGCGTCGAAAGTCAAATAAAATGTTTAAATGATATTTACTTGTATTCATTCCTCGTTCGTTGCTTTGTGTCTTTGAACCTCCAACCTTTAATAGTTTTGCATCTGAAAAAAAGTTAAAATATTGATAAATAAACTGTCGCAGAACTGTAGCTAGCATATTCAATGAACAGCGGGGCTGAATCTATCGGATCTTTTGCACAAGGCTCCCGCCACGTTTTAAAATGACATATTAGTAATTATCTATTTGGGGTTAGGAATGATTTAAAAATTTGAATTTCCAGCACAATCTGCATTCCTAACTTAAACCACCAAGATGGCGCACAACCTGAACCCTAACCAGGTACACATACTGTGTTCAGGTTGTGCGCCTTCTTGGTACGAATACTATGGGAGCACCCTATACACAATAAAATATGAAAGTGAAAAGGCTACGCGAATCTCTAATAAACCATTGATTTTGCGCTACATTTGCGAAAGTTTTGAAAGTTATGCAATACATTCATGTAAATCTTGTCCTGTTGAATGCAGCTTACGTAGTGACGTAGATCAGTATATTACGTTTAAGTTTCTTAATATGATAAGTCTATGTATTGCCATATAGCCTGAAAGTTCGACTAGTTGTGAGAAAACGATGGAACCCGATGTTAGTGAGTTCGATACAAAAGAGAATCACCCACCAATCTAGACTTCTGTATTAGGTTAATAATTCCAATTCGTATAGGCCCGAAAACCTCTAATTTACCACTTATACAATAGAAAAATGAAAGCAATAGAATAGCAATGAAAACAATAAGTATAAAAAACATTTAGCTCACCTGAATATCGTTTCGAAATCGCTGTCATAACCCAACAGTCAGCTTATCCATACATCTTACACAAAATCGAATCTCCTCCTACGACGAACATTTGTGACTGCGATGTCGCTTGTGGCTTCCCGCGCAAAATATTTGACGAAAAAGGCTAACTGATTGTTAGTAATCAAATAGTTTTAACTGATTACTTTAATTACTCCAGGTTGCCGTTACGTGCCGATCACGCTTCTAACGCGTGATCTCAAAGTTGCAGAATGAAGATGACGGTTGGGATTTGCTTCATACATTTTCTGATCGCATAATACCTAGTTCATAGTATTTTCGGGGGTGTTTATCTCGGTGACCGTACATTTGAACCCACGTACATTGAACCATGTACATTTGAACCGATGTGTATATCCGCGGGTTCAATCTATATGCGGGTGCTAAGACCCATGGGTTAGGGTTAGTATGGGTTCAAATAACCGTAAAACAAAAAAAAATCCATAAGTGCAATAGTACGCAGGTGCAGTTGTCGTGGGTTCAAATGTACACGGGTTCAAATGTAATGGAACCGTTCATATCAGATCTCACATTTTTACATCAGTGACGGGAGCTTAGTACAAAGAATCCAGCATTTCCATTATATTTGTCTGTTTCATATTTGTCGAGTAAACTTGCTCGTGGATGTCATCAAAAATGTAACCTTCCTTCCACTCAATGAAAGAATAACGGCGTGTTTAGCGTATATCAAAGCATTCTCTAAATTGACGTACAAATCTTAGCTCATTGACTTTCGCAGCCGAGAATGTTTTCATACAATAACGTGTCGGCGATGTCCTTAAAGGTGGAGTCACAATGTGACGTTGTTTCGATGCCTACCCCTACAGTAAAGGTAATTTCTCCGCCCAAACCAAACGGCAGAGAAACATCAGCAACAGCATTAATCACGGTTCTATGTGAAGTAAATACGTTAATTGACTGCTCAAGACAAGTGCATATCGACGACGACTGATTCACATATTTAGTGTTATGAAGCTCGTGAAGAGGTAGACTGTTATTTACGGAGCCCCACAATAAGAACGTAACAAAAAACAAATTGTTACTTACCGATTAATATTAATGAGTGATTTGAAATTACTCTATTTAATAACTCGGATGTATTTGCTGCTTCTTAAATTTTATTAATGTCATTTTGAGTAAACGAATAGTTCGCGGAGACTCTGGCTCTGTATGAAGCACTTTGAGTCTGTCGCTACAGTAGACCTCTTGGTAAAAAGCGATCATGATACAGGTATGTACGGCCATAAAGAACAATCCTGAGATTTCGTCATCCAGCGTAAGGGTATAGACGTATATCAATGTGTTTAGTATCTATGTCAGCCAATGCACTGCAGTTGACTACGTTTTAGTGCCAGATGATTGTGCGCTTCTACCATTTCTACCTAAGCTAGCGCTTCCCAAACTTTTTTCGCCACGGAATATTAATACTTTTTATGATGTAATTTCAGTTTTTTCTCTACTTTCGCTTGAGGCACATAATATGCAGCACCTACGCCAAATGGATTTTTCGAACCGTCAGTAAATACTTGTACATAGTCTCGATAGTTTTCGTGTATATGGTCAAGAAATGACGTTTGAAGTATTGTTGGTGAACATGTTGTACCATAAATCGTTAACGATGTATCAATTTGCGGTGGCTTCATTATCCAGGGAGGAATCTTGAAATTGACATCTTTTGCAACAGAGAAGTCGGTAAAAAAGCTGTTGGTTGTTTTCATAATAAACGTTGCAAATGACGGTTTGTCAGGAAAATATTCTTCCCACGACTGTTTGAATAATTGTGCTGTAATTTCGCTGTCATGAGGAATCATTCTGCATTTGTAATGTAGACATTTTCTATAATGTATAATATGTAAAGGCATTTCGTTACACTGGGATTGTAACGCTATAATAGGAGTACTTTTTAATGCAACCAAACATTGTGATTGGATTACAGCCAGTTTCCGCAATATAGTCGTTGTTCTTATTGTTCCTGTTCTTGTTCTTTGACACGTTTTTAAAAAGTCGCTTTTCTCTTTGATTACTGGACCAATTGCTTTGAAATTTTCAGTAGTTAAAGATGGAATTTTTTTCTAGAAGGCTATTACTTTTATTAATTTCAAATATTCCTGTGAGCTTTATGAGATTCGTTTTTATTTTGAGCTATGACGTCATCAGAATTTGCCACCATGTGGCGATTCCGCAAACATATATCGATCACTTGATCAACGAACAGGTTCCGTGGTCAAGCCTGCTGGTAAGTTACCGTACCGTACCACAGTGAATTTCAGCGTAACGTGTCTATATATTTGAGCATAGCTCTCTTGTTTATGATGTAATCCCTTCAATATTTGTATACTGTAAGTAAACAATTACTTTCGACTGTGACCACTTGTAACACAAACATTTGTTTAATTTATGTGTTTATTATCACAGCTGATCGTGTTTGCATCAGATTATTCAACATTTATCCTGACTGTTGATTGTAATAAATTTGAAGGTAATTTTTGAAGTGTAACAAGTGCAGAAACAAATTAACTTTTACTTTGCATACAACCGCAAGTTTAGGAACTTGGGCGAAGATCTTATTTATTAAGTAACCGCTTCAGGAAACATCAAGCGCATTAAATAAAATAAAACTATAGTACTTTTTCAGCACAAAATAAATGATGCCATAATCATATAAAATGAAATAACTCCAAAGTGTGTAAAATAAGGTCTCAAAACTGAAACCGTGGCGCCGTGATTAGTTCATACCAATATTCACTATGATAATTATTTTCGAAATACAACGCTATTTATAACATAGTCTCAAATTTTTCAGGTATTCGATGAATCGGAGTGTATACACCAACATCATATATCCAACAGCGGAAGATCTTCTTGGCGCCAGGAATACTTTAATTGATTTGAATGTGACATCACCTCTAAGCAGCGCCGGATTAACCATTAAACAATATAAGCACGTGCTTAGGGCACCAAGCAAAGAGGGGCACCACAGAAATTTTAGAGCAGAATTTTATATAGTTTATCGGTATTTATTAAAATATTACGAGTTCACCAGACGACTCAAACTTCAAAATGTTCGCTTATTTTTTGTCTTCAAGTATCATATTAACCTTCTTTACTAAAAATAAACACTGAAACTTATTTATTGGACACGAAATGGCCTATGAGTCGTTTTCTTAAATTGTTGTTGTTTTTTCTTTCTAGTATTCACCTTGTTGCTGCATTTTTGTTTTGAAAAATTTCTATTCTCTTCAACAATTGGACCAATGAACTATTTACACTATGTGGCGGTTCCACGATCGCATTTCAACGATATATTGGTCAGCAAAGTCGGGAGTTTCTTGATAAGGTAGACCAGGGTGGTCCAAACTCTGTCATGCTGATACATTCCGTGCGGCTCACAGAACAATTTTAGCGTATATTTGTATCTAATGGAGTAACGTTTTGAGTTTTTTTAGATATTCCAACTGGGGTTGGATCCCGAAATTCAAACCTTTTTCTAACGCTTTGTGCCTTTATTTTAGTAAAAACACTCTCTGTTTACAAGCGTCGGCCATGTGACAGTAGTGACGAAACGCAGAGCCGACTTAACGCCGCGTAATCCAGTTTTTTTTTAGCTAGGTCCCGAAATACCAACTTAGACTGACTTGGTTGGTATTTGACGATGTCACTAAGCTTGCTCACGCTGCAAGTTTTTAAATTACTCAATATAACAATTCGTAATAAAATGAGTGTCGCAAGAAAGGTGACATAAGAGAACACGGCGGAAATGTATTTCCTTGCCCATCACGCAGTGTCTGGTTTGATTTCAAGTAATATCTGTCACGAAAGAATATAATTTGAAGCGACATTAAACGCGAGATGCGCAAAATACAACGGTAATTCTCGGGAATTAACTTTAAAATAACTGAAGGCTTTATATATCTTCTTTAAAGAACGCCACCCATGCAACATAATAATAGTCTGATTAGAACGGTAAACTCTCGTTGTTTATTAAATTTAAAGTAAGTAAACTCGCGATATTTTGATCACTTTTGAGTTTTCTCCGACTTGCGGCCCGCGAGACCTCCTCAAAAGTTTTTGCGGTCTTCAACATAGCACCTTGAACCACTTGAGGTAGACTACTAGATACCGGTAAAATTCAAACTACAGTTGTTGTATCCTTTGGCATTTCGATTCACGTTGAGACTGGAGGCATGAATCTTTATTGTCACACTTCCTCAGGATTAGAGCTCAACCGATATATCGGCCCGATATTGCGTGTTTGCACATATATATTATCGGCAGTAAACGGCCGATATATATATATCGGCTATATACAACAGTTAAAAAACCTAAAAATGTTCGTAAAAGTTGTTTATTTACTGTTGGCTGTGATTATTTTTAATGGATAATACACTTATGTGGTTTATTGTTTTTATAATTAAATTACACATGAGGGGGCGCTAAAGTCTTCAGTGCTTAGGGCACCAAAGGGGCTTAATCCGCCCCTGGGAGGAGCGGCGAATGCTCGAAACAAATTCCGTTGGTTTTTGTCCTTATGTCCCGGCGCAGGAAAATTGACTACGTCCACATCTTCAATGTAATTACAACCTACTCACCCTTTCGTTTTCCGGTGCACGTGTGAAGAGATTCGTACTGGACTTCGAAGCCGCAACGTGGCAAGCACTTTCTTCAGTATGGCCGGACGTCGAAAAGCAGGGATGCTCTTTCCACTTCACTCAGGCCATCATGAAGAATGTGCGCCACAATAATTTGGCTTGCCTATACAACAAGTGAGTGGTTAACCATATTTATACATGTCTTTGTACTTCTTCCACTTCTTGTTTTAACATGTTTTATTTTGTTTTAGGGACGCTGGAACAAGAGACCTAATAAAGCATGTCATGGCGCTGTGCTATATACCTGCTATGTTTATCACGTCCAGGTTCAAATCACTGAAAGAAAAAATGCATACTCAAGATCTCAAGAACTTCGCCGAATATTTTCAAAACACATGGTTATACAACAGTGTCCGGACTCCCAAGGATAGGTCAGTATTCGACGTAGAAACAAGAGAGATATGCTCAAATATGGACACGTAGCGCCACACAGTGGCAATAATTTTGATGACGTCATAGCGAGAAAAAAAAAGTAATAGCTTTCTGGAGAAAAATTTTATCTTTAACCACTGAAAATATCAAAGCAATTGGTCCAGTATTCGAAGAGAAAAGCGATTTTTTTAAAAATGGAGACGGAGACAAATAACAATAACAACAAAATTTTGAAACGATCGTCATGGCCACTAAACGTGTCCAATAAAAACCAACAATCATCTGGAAGGTTGGCACCGCCATTTCAACAGTATAACTCAGAAAAATATGCCTTTTCACAGTTTAATCTCAACAATGTACGAGGTAAGTATAGGGATAGAGGCGGTCGTTGTGGATATTTTGGAAGAGAATGTTGTGGGGCATGTCAACGGCAGGTATGCGGAAATCAACGAGAGGGTGAAACATGTTTGGGAACAGTTTAAGGAAGGAGAGTTATCTGTGGACTCTCTTCTTCGGAGGTGTTCAAGGATCTACGGGCCGCAGTATTGCAAAGAGTAAGTATGTATCGCAGCAAATTTCTCATAACGTTTAGTATTCAAATAAAATTCAATATTCGTAACGAAAAAGAAAACAAAACCTTCCATCCATTAAATTTCCCCATAACGTTCAGTATTCAAATATCATATTAAATTCATTAATCGTAACAAAAAGTAAACATCTTTTATCCATTCTTCGGCCCAGTTTTTTTGCCAGGCGCAGCGACAGTGCCTATCTGTTCCTGGTTTTCTTCTGCAAAAAGAAATTCCAACTCTATGACTGAAACCTTGCCGTGGTGAGTTAGGATAGGATAGGATAGGATTTACATATTTATCCCGGGGAAGAGGAAAGCCGATAAGACGGCTTATCCATATGGCGAACCACGGCCTCTCGTCCGGTTACCATTCCAAGTCGGGTATGGGATTAGTTTTTACTGTATTGTTTGTTTTCGGAAGCATGGACTTGGTGGTGGAGGAAGCCGTAACCGACCAGCGGTTACGTGAACCACCCAACGACGGCGAGGAGTCCAGCAATCCTCTCGCACATAACCATCCCTGCATGGGATTCGAACCTGCGAACCCACGCAGAGTAATTAGAGGTGCGGTGGCGAGCGTATTCCTAACGCTTAGCCCGTTGAGCCACACCGCCGCGCGAACAACTAATATCAGTCGGCACTAAGTAAATGCTATGCAACTATTGAGTCTGCGTTTTGCAAAGCAATGTCTTCTCCTCGAGCATCGATATCGCAGAGCGATTGCTCGACTAATGAGGTTGCTCGGTAGTCGAGTTGTCTTTACCTCGAGCATCGATGACGTCACGTCGCAGACATTCATAAAAATTTAAGTGTTACTGTGAAGTATAAAGGTTTTAATATATTCAAATGTGCTCATTCAAAACATTTAATACCAATAAAGTTCATAAAATTAAACGAACACAGTCCTATAAGTCAACAGTCTAACTTCGCTAACGTTACTCCAATTTCGTCTGTAGACTGTATTTGTATTCATACAACATGAAGAAAATAAGCCACTTATACAAATAAAAATGCTTTCTAGAGAATATTTATGTATTTTTCTCAACTCAACATTTGAGCACTAAAAATAGCAAAAACGCATTTCTAAAGACCTAAAACACCACCGTAGAAAATGCGAAAAGACGGACAACTCACCAGGTCTCAAGGTAGTCGAGTTGTCTCTGGTGAGTTGTCCGTGTAGTCGAGTTGTCCGCCTCCCTATCTGTATATGGTATGCGTTACTCAAGAGTGCTAGTAGAGTCTTTGATAGAATATATCTATTTCAGCAAAAATGTGAATCATACAGATTTTGTTGCAATACTTCAGTTCAAGTGTCAAATTCTTAGGTATTCTTGTTTTATTTATAAAATTGAAGCCGAATGTGGTAAAAATTAAAGAAAAAATAATCTTAAAGAAAAGCATTTCAACAAAGCCTGTCATGATTGCATTTTTGTCAGAAGAAAATAACTGTATAAAAGTAATATTTAATTAAGGCTAATATTTTATAAAAAGAAGCATTGTTTCCATGTCATGGATTGCCCTAATTGTATTAGGATCACAATAGAGCAGGGATGGGCAACTTCTCTAGTCGGCGGGCCAGATGTGGGAAAATGAAGTTTTTCGGCGGGCCCGATTATAACATGAATAGTATTCAATATCTTAATGACATATTTATTCGCTAATGCAAGAAAGAAAATTATAATTTGCGTTTAAAGTAAAGTTTGAACTACAAAAAAATAGAGACCAAAAAACACATAATGAATTTATCATAATGTAGGTACTAAAACTGTAATAATGTAATATCATAGTGTACTGATGTACAGTCAGCGGGCCGGTCAAAATCTCGTCCGGCCCGCAGCCGTATATTGCCTACCCCTGCAATAGAGTAATATAGTTTCATGGGGGGAAGAAAGGGAGGAATATAGTCTATTTGATTTTGTGCTATGACCTATAAGAGAAAGAAAGGGCCCAGCATGCTACTTTGACAAAGAGAACTGTTTCTATTGATGGCTGGATTCAAATTTGATGTAATTGTAATTTAATTTATGAAATAAACTTTCATTCCGCGTGGGATGTGTTTTAAAATGTCAATCATTCCAATTTATATATCCAACTTTTATTCCAAGGGTCATTCATTTGCAGAATTTGGACTGGTCTGGTTTTTTGACTTATTTGTCCTGGCAGACTCAGACATGGGAAACTATCGATCGTTTTTCACTGTTATAAATTTTGGGTTTAAGTATGGTAGGCTAGCACCCATACTGGCATATACTACAGTACCGTACTGCCAGACTGCAGTACCGGTATCTGAGAATTGATGATTTTAGGATTGCAGGATTGACAGATTGGTGTAACACAGTCTACTGTCTAACTATATAACCCAGACTCTGTGACTTATGAATTGATGAATAAAAATTCAATTTACTATATGTTTTTGTATAACTTTTTTTTTTTAAAAAATTATGTTTATCAATGGACTTTATTGGTGAAAAAGTAGTGGCCAGAAAGGATCTAAGCAAAAAGGTAAAGAAGGAGCTGAAGGGGGTCAGAGAAATCTCATCTTAACCTTGTGTCCAGTAAGTGCTGATATTCTTTTTTTCAAATTTTTGATTTGTTGGAATCTGAATTTAGCGTTTTTGATTACTGGATTAAGCAGTTTTTACAGTAAATTAGAGAAAGCTATTGTTTTTTAAATTTGGTTTCTCAAAGCGTGAGTATGATTCAAAATTTCTCTCAACCTGGAGAGGAGGAAGGGGAATTCAAACCATTAGGCATTAGATTATGCTCATCTTGGTATTTTTATTTTCTACAGACAAAGAACTGAATTGGTTAGCAAGATATTAGCGAACAAGAATTGAAAGATTATCGGAAAATAATCTGACTCTCTCCAGCTGTCAGTTGCTGAGTAGTTCAGCGAAAGAAGAGACCGAATCTTCTATGCGTTGGATAATATTTTGTGGAAGAATGGTAAAAAATATTTTTTAAACTATTGATTATTTGAGACTATTGTGCTATTCGAAAATCAATTGTTACCAGTTTGCAGTTTTACATCGTCATTAGCGAACTCTTTAATAAATTTGTCTGATTGATTCACCCATTTTATAGCTTGCAAAATAGATATTTACTGACTGTTATATGTATTTCTATATAATTTTGGATTTGAAGCTACTGTTCTCTGTACCCTTCATCTGACTGAAGTGTGCCAAGTTATTTAACGCATGTTGGATGAATTGTGTAGATTATTAGAATTCTCTTATTTAGAAATGTATTCCATAGATGTGGAAAAAGGATTTGCATATCATCAAACCCACCGGATTATATTGTTTAGAGTCGGCTGAAACCTACCTTTTTCATATGTTTGCCGAATCAATATCCTAGCATTTCTAGACATATATGAATGTACTGAATCTGTTACCAAGCAATTTAAAATTTGATTACCGCTATGCTTTTGAGGTGAATCCATATAGTCTATGCATACATAATGCAATGTGGCAAAGATTCATGCAGATTGGAAAGTGAATTTGTTAATTTTCGAAATTTGAAGTTTGAGATTTGAGATTTTGTTATGGTTATTGCTATGAGTGGCAAGTAAATGTGTCCTTCAATGTTGTGTTCACTTTTTCAGCCTTTACGAACATGCATGCAAACTTTGCTCAGGGTACTTTTCGTTCTTGGGTTCGGCGGTATTTTTACAATTATGCAAAAGAATGAAGTGAAATGGGACTATCTTGTATATACCCAGATCTGGCCACAATCTGCTTGTATTGAAATAAATGTAAGTTTATTTATCAATATTTTTTTCATAGAAATGAATGAACTGAATTCAATCATGTCAAATTGAAACTTTCATATATTGATTACACAAAAGTATAAATAAAATAACTATTGTTTCTTTCGAGCAACATTCTTGATTGGGATTGTGAAGTCGAGCTGGAGTTATGGTCAAAGTTTTAGCAGCTAGCCATATTCATTCAATTCATTCAACCTGGATAAGAGTGGACAAAAACTTTGCAAAAAATTAAAATTTTAAAATTTTCTTTTTCAATGAATAAATAATGTGACTTCATATAATCACAAATTTTCATGTGATATATTGAATCATCAAATAAATTTCAAAAGGATTTACATCCGCAAGGAATCTTATCTAAATTCCATGTTGTCTAATATTCAAATGTTATACTTTGTAACTCATATTTCCAGGAAACAATAGGAGATGGCAAATGTGTGATGCCTAACAATGTTAAGTCCTGGACAATCCATGGTATATGGTAAGTGGAGAACATTTTGCTCATATTGATGCTTTAAGTAAATAAGAGCTACTTTTGTTACTTACAAACTACCCTTAAATTATTTTTGTAAAATGGCTTGATAACTCGCACTTTGTTCTATGAACAGACCTATTTTATAGTTTAAGACCAATATTCAAAAACTTATAATCTTATAGGCTGCATGACCATGAACAATGATAAGGATGTTTATGGATTTGATTCAAAAGCAAATCTGACTAAATGATGATGAATATAATGCTTCTTGCAGCATTTTTATTTTCATATTGCATTTCATTGATAATACCAACTTGTGACCTTTGGTCCTTTTGTCATAAATAGCTTTCAAAATGCTTGCATAAGCTTAAAATCTCATGGTATTTATATTATATGACTCAAATCTAAGATTGTCCATGTAGTACTGTTACGTCACCTGTTTTAAACCTGGAGATTTGGCAACTTTGCTGAATTTTTGGCGTATTTATCTTGTGTATTGTATTTTCATACCATGAACCATAGCGGAGTTCCAAAATAAAATATCAATCTGTTATATTTTATACGAGGCCTTTGGTAATTCAAAAACTAGTCAATTTCCGAGTTAGGTTTTACTGGCTGATATTAGAGTACGAGTTCAAGTGATTTCACTTAAGGTCTTTGATAAATGCTGACTCCGAATCCAAACAATGTTTTCTCCATCGCAGCAAACACATGTCATTGCATGTTCAACAAAGATAGGATAATAATTCTAGTTATTTTCAGACATAAATCTGGACTGTTTTTGAATGGCGGGTAAATCATTTTTGTTAATCAACTTATTTAAAGCTTTTATTATTTCTTTTACAGGCCAGATGTACATATAGGAAAAAATCCATCATATTGCAATGATTCTTGGCCATTTGTTCCTAATGATATAAAGGTCAGTCAAATGATGATTTTGTTCAAATTATTTGGTTAGCATTTTCTACTGGAATTTTTACTCACTGTTACACTCATAGGAGTCAGTGAAATCATATTTAACAAGGATCATAATAGGACAACAGCTTTTGAATTTAATCAAAACAGGTTGACAACTACACTTTCAAAAATAGTAACAAAGGTTTAGGAAATGATTATATAAGTGGTCTAAGTCTAAAGTTTCAATATAAATCAGCAAGTGTATTCCGAGCGGTGAGTATCACATTCCCCCTACATGTATCCTACACAATCAGTCGAAAAATTCATTTTATTTTTAATCAAAGAGTGGGTGACCAGCACAGTATAGCAGGTTACACAAACTTTGAAAATTAGTAGGCACTAGGTAGGGCAGATTTTATTATAAAATTCTCATGAACACTAGGGCTTTGTGGTTAAAAGCTTGGTGATCCAGAAGTATGTGTACCAATATGAAGATAACTAATTTTATTCGCCTACTTTACATCAAGTTGTGTAAAGGGAGGAGAGCCTATGGGCCGGGGGTATATTCACTTAGCTAACGGAAACAGTCCCCGAACTCGTTATAAAACTAAAATAGGAAAATCAGAATAAAATTATGGCCTAACGCTAACCTGGCTGGTACACATACTATGGGAGTACTGAAAGCTTTGTATTTATAGCTATGTCGACATCCCATGCCCACCATATCACATAGGGTTTAATAAGCTGGCATGCAATGCTGAACCGGAAAGTAGCTTACTAGCTATGCTGAAAATAGAATTTTTGTAGTAGTCAAAACTTCCTAAATGTATTGATTAGCAATGCTTACATTAAATGGAATACCACCATTGGCAATGTCATTTTATGAACGCATTTACATATAAACATTTTGTCATGTTTTATATGTGTGATATTTTTTTACGTTGGTAGCATGAATCATAAATAATCTCACGAGCTACATGAATCTTGCAAGCATCAGTTGGTCCCATACTTCCAATTTTTTTCGATTTTTTTGCAACAACTTATATGCAAAATATTTTCAGGATATTCAACCTGATTTAGAAATACACTGGCCTAATTTGATACTCGGTGACAAAGTATCAGCATTTTGGTAAGTCTTGCATAATTATGTTGTTTTCTCAGATTTAAGGTTCTGGGTTTAAGCATACTGAATAGGATCATTGCTTATATGTGGCTTAGTGGAACTAACAAAAATCTTTGTTTGCTCGATATTATAAGTTTATAACAAATATTTCCATATTTTTTGCAATTCAGTTTTAACCCTTGAAAAACACATTTATTGTATTTGTAGAAGAGTAAAAATAAAGTATGATAACATTAAAAATTGTTGAATGCACCAGTCACAAAATTTATACCAAGATTTTAACTTACTGGTACTTAATTTCCATTAATAATCATTTTTAATGATGATTGATAATTAGTATATGGTTTGGAAATACAGCAAAATTGAGGGTGTGAAAATTCACACATAAACATGTTTGTATGTAATTTATATGAATCAGCTAATTCCCGATCCTAATATGTATGTGTCATCTATCTGACAAGGAATGCATATACATACAGCCTTACTATGTTAACTAGAGTGAATTATAATAGCATGACAAAATTTGTTTACAGCTCATATTTTAATTAAGTGTGAATCTAGCATGACTTTGCTATATTTTAGTTTATTCATTTTATTATGAAACTCTATGAACCCGGTGACGTTGTTGTGCTGTGATTCTACCACCTATATTCTAGTATGCAAATCATAACAAAATAGGCCTTATTTTATGAATTAAGAATTATCTTTATTTCAGTGTACAAATGGCAAATTTAAATCATAAAACAATATTTTACTTTCAAAATCCATAGTGGCTGGTACAGTAGCTGGTTCCTTTTTGGATATTGTAACTTCAAAATATGTCCAAACAGTTTTATATTAAATCAAGCATTTGAAATTAGACCATTGCTGTAAAATTTCAAACCAAATTTTCTAATCCAGGGCTGGGCAACATTTTTTGTCGGTGGGCAATATGAACAACTATGCCCGTCTAGCTGGGCCACCCAAGAAATTTAGCGGGAAAGGCATGGGAGAAAAATGTGTCTATGACTTTGCCTTACAGTAATAAATACACCGGACAAAAAGGATGAAAGATTTAACCAAGCTGAAACATGAAAAAAAAACATGTATATTCCTATCCATGTGAACGCCTATCGAAATTGAACGGCGCATCAGATAGAGAAGTGAACATAAACAAGACATTTTTATTATTTCACAGGAAACACGAATGGGTCAAGCATGGGACATGTGCTACCTCACTTCCTTCCTTAGATTCTGAACATAAATATTTCCAAGCCGGATTGAATTTGCGACAAAAGTTTGATCTGAGCAAGTGAGTTGTTTACTCAATTCTACATTTGATTCTTCATAATTTCAGTCTCTTTTATTCATGACATTGCTTTGAGAAAATTCCTTCAGAAAAATTTCGAATTAATATGTTTATATATACACAGGCGTATATGCAGTCTGAATGAATCACACTTCAATATCTTTTCTTGTTTTATACTTTGAGTTTGCGCTCTGCGTGACTACACTGAATTCTTTATATATATGATTTTATAGTGTATTTACCATGTGTTCAAGAACTGAATTTATCGAATGTGTCAGCGAAGGCAATGAATACGCATCATGGGGGAAATGATTACACATCATGGGGAATGAATAATTCAAAAACATCGTTTTGTTTTGCTTGCCATGGGGAATTTTGTCAAGTAAAACATATCAATGTCTAAATGTTGTTTTCTTAACGAATCTGCGAAATATTAATTGAGAGTTCTTCGAATTTCTATTCTTACATTAGTGATTTAGTATCAACTGTACTATCAATGGAATATCTCATGATGACTTTAACTTGAAACTTTTTTTTTTAAAGCTTCATCTTTGAATCATTCAGTACTTTTTTGAATACCATGTTCAATATTCTAACCCAATGCCAAGCAACTGCAAGTTCAACGCAACAAAGATTTGGCATCTAATACACAGTATATACTACTAAAAAATATTCACGTTTTTCCAAATGCTCGGCATCAGAAGCCTTCCCCAAACAAAATGTATAATTCATTTGTATGAATCAATGAGCTCACTGTGTGATGGAGTTTTGTTCGATTTGTAAAATGCAACATTGCAATCTTGCCTTAAGCAAATATTCATAAAAAATTATTGCAATGATATAGTCTATGTTGCCTTGAAATTTGAAATTTATTGAAAAGAAACCTTCGTTATTTCATCATTTATTGTTTAATTTCAACAGAATGCTGTCAGCTGCAGGAATTGTTCCATCTCTTAATACTTCAATAAAGGTATTGTTCAACTTCATTCCATGTTATAGTGTATATCAAGCTGCTATTTCTGTTTTTGTACACAAGACATACAATTGTATAAAAGAAAACAATAAGTATAAGTATAGAATACTTACTTGGAATTGAACACTCCACTTGTCTTAAACAGATCTGTCTGTAATATCGTATTCATTCATTCATGCTTCTGCCAGAATAAGTTAAGAGAAAGGTTGTCATTGAGGCAATTGATGTTAATATTGTATATAGGTGCAATGACTTGGAAGCTTGAATGTGCCAGAAATTTGATTTAAACGAAAATTAAAATATAGGAATTTAGGAATATATTTTATGTCTGTTGCACCATATCAACCCAGGACAAAATCTTGATGAAATATTTGATTTTATAAAAAGCCCTACCAGTATGGGCATATTGAAGTCTAACAAGAAACTATAAGAGCGGGTACAGTACGGCCATGAACCAAAAGCAGATATCATTTTAGCCAATTTATTAACATTTATTGTGTGTATAGCCATGCAGAAATCTTGGACGTCACCCACATGCTTGACAAGTTCTCAAATTCCAGCATTACGCATAGGCAGCAAGGGGTTAACAGCACTGCATGAACAATCAAGCTATTCATGAAAAATCTATTTTGTGGTTTCGTTACTGCACAGATATTAAGAACAGTATTTTAATTTCAGCTTGACAGGTTACGAAATGTCATCAAAGCCAATACAAATTCCCATACAAGACTACTATGCATGGAAACTAAGGTAAGCAGAAATAGGATTACTATTATTATAAATGTTGTTATTTATCAATACCCTTGAAAGCATATAAGATTTATCACTTGAACGGGTCAGATTCCCATCACAGTATGGGAATGAAATTCGAAAAATGTATATTTTTGTTTACCTTGTTTAGACTTGGAACAATTCATTAGAATTTGCTTTTTATTGGTCCTTTGAAAATGCAGTTGCCATCTTTGCCAGATTAAAAAAAATATGAAACACTATTACATTGTTATTCTTGCCACTGTAAGCTTCATATTTTTTTACGTACCGTGTTTCGAGAGTCTAAGAAGAAATACCAGCGAGTCTGATCTTCATCAACCAAATGGCTGTGCTGTCATATTCATAAAATTCAGGATATTTGTAAAATATGCTATGTTTAATTAACGTTTAAAATTCATTTAAATAACATCAATATTTAATTAAGTAGTTGCTACCAGGCGTATTCATAGTAAGACTGTAACTGTTGAGAAGCAAACTTATAGTTCAGCCAACATTCCAAATGCCTTTACAGCCCAGGGCTGAACTATATTATTTGCTTCCTACCAGTTTCACATGTATTACTATGTGGAATAACATTTTAAAATTGAGAATCTAATAAAATTTCGAATATTTCCCATTCACAAAACGTTCACTTCACTCTAATTGTCACTTGCCTGGAATGATTTTCTTGGTTGATATAAATAAGCAACTATCCTTTTATTTAAAATACCACTAAATAAAAAAATCAAAATTTAATCCTTCATCTTTAACAGACGAAAACTGAACAAATTATAGCACAAATTGAAATATGCTTGGATAAATCTTTTTCTCCTATCGACTGTGATCAATCAAAATACAATTTGGAAACACCATCTACTTTTCAAGAAAATCCCAGGTTTATGAGGCTTAAAAGAAGCAACACTGTGTGGGATCCGTATCCGTACTTTCCGAATTTCATGGACTGCAAAGATGAACTACCGATCAAGTACTTACCCATTGTGCCATCTCTTGCTTAAGAATTATGAAGCCATTTGTAAAGAAAATGTTATTGAATCTTGTAGCTTGTTTTGAGAATATTACTTTGTCATTTTCCTAATCATTTCTTTAAGTATTAGCATTGCTGTATGTTTTGGTATCGAAGAATTCTGTCTTGTCAATTAATTTTGATTTTGAATATCCTGACTTGATCAATTCTGCATATATCACTGTAAAAATCTGTAGATTTGATCAATTTTTTTTTTGGTGTCAAATTTATCCCGATCCCGATCTCATTTAGACATTATCGCTTTAGATATTTCAGGGTTGCAATCTGTAAATATAAATGCTTTCGAATTGAAGTTAGGAGTATATTCATGTTTGATTGGCCAGCCATGATACTGTGTGCGTTCTCACTATCATTATATATATAGTTTCAAGTATATACACAATAATATCTACGTACTAAAATATGGACGCCCAAAAATATTGCTACTTTATGATCCATCCTAAGGTTATCAAAACCATATTGTTTCTTGTAATGTTACAATTAAATTTAGACAAATATCTCAGAACAAATTATCCTTGTATTCAGGCTTACAATGTTATTATCCACCACTCACTAAATCTAGTGACTCAATTTCGAACTTTCTAAATCAGTGGCTTCCAAACCGCGGGGCCAATTACAGCCCGAGTAACGATTTAATATGGCCCGCCGAACTTGAGTAACATAGTTTCACACTTTTTTTTTTGTATTTTACCCTAAATACCGCCAATTGTCACGTCATTATCACAGTTTATATTCGTAACAATTCAGTTTCGGTATCTTAATTATTTATGTACCGGTACCGTTATCGACCCCTTGCGTGCGCTCCCCTCTCCCGCCCCGCGAATATCCTTCAACTTCTAATTTTGTCCCGCGGTCAATCAATTTTGGGAACCACTGTTCTTAATTGATTGAGTGAGCACTAAAATGATAGCTACTTAAGCATTTGTCACTATGATTTCATTATAAAATTTTCTAAGTTCGAATTCACTAATTTATAAAAACAGTATTATCTAATGGTATTAATATAACTTTTCTATAAACCAAATCTTTGAGCATGACAGTTGTATGTTTAAATCAACGTACATGGTAAGTTATGTCAAGGTCAAAGTTGTTTACTCAATATTGACATAACCCATGTAGGACTTGTGTTGCATAGTCGTCTGTCTGAATCTCGATTTTGTTTATTTGGGGACTGTTATGTTCCAATCCATCGTTAATACTACTAATATTTCTACATTTCTGGAATACCTCATTCAGAAATTTAGCCGTTTTACCAACATAATCAATTATAATAATCAATTTTTCCAAACACGGTTCTCATAGGGAGACAACGCTATAATATTTACTATACAGATGCAATCTTCCATATAAGTATATGTAGTTGTGAAATACCGATCAGAATTACCTCTAACCTTGTATAATTACTTTAGAGTGTTTTATTTAGTATGAATTTGATGATAAATTTTTCAATTGTAATATTGCAATTCAATAGCATACCATACATAACATGTAGATTGTAAACAACCAAAATAACATTGAAAAATTTTGTGTGTCCAGTTGCTAACTTATTAATTCGATTTTCGTCGGCAATCGGCATTCTTAGTACATATTCTTTCTGTGATTTCATGAAATCTTACGATAATATTTTTTAATGAGATGTAAAAAAAAATTTTGCAATACATTTTTGCTCTTTGTTGCTACGTTTTGCATATTACTAATTTCGTTCCTCACTTGATTATCACTTTCTTATTGGTTAAAAATATTATTAACTTTTCCTGTGTATGTCTGAATAATATTTTCTACTGTGACATATTCTATTTATCATCACCGTGTCTGTGTTCTACATATTGTCATTTCAAAATATTCCATATATTGCTTATGTTATATTGTCTGTTCAAAGAGATCAAGAAGAAAATTTACTATATCGTTTAAAGCCGTTTTGTGCATCAGTAGTATAACACCATACACATTAACGATTTAACTTCAGTACATAAGCTGAAATGAAATTATTATTTTTTAATTTCACTATTGTTCGCATTGTTTTTATTTTGACTGAATGAATGATTATGAATTATGTTTAACTCCCGAATACCGGAACGCCCTTCTTGTGAAAATAGTTTATTTGAATTTTCTTTTAATATTTCAAAATTTCAAACCTTTGTCATTTTAGACAATACGAAATGGTATTCATCGCCAATTGTGACGAATTTTGAATGGTGTTTCCCATTAGTGGCAATGATTTGGAACATTGTAACTCAACCTTTTTATTTTTTTCATGGACTGTGATATTTTTCGATACTAAATGCGACTATAGCGAACCACTTTCGTGGGTCTTTTCTGATTTCCACAATTGGAAAACATACCATCTAATTTTTCAATGTTATTGTTTTTTTGTCAATATATATTCCATGCCCATGACTATATTTCGATTTTATGCATCGTGTCATTTAGTTTTCGCAATTCAGTTTTTCAAAATCAATTTCATTTTTCTTAATCAATTTATAATTATAGATCTTTGGTGTTCTCAAATTATCTTCTTCAGTTCTGGTATGTCGTTCCTCCTTTTTTATCAAATATGTACTGTATCGAAGAACATTCTAACTGTACTAGAGCTGTATGACGAATGATACTCCGAATATTTATAAACGATTTGATTTTTAAACACGCTCCCGGTCCTGATTAACATAATTCATGCCGTCTAGTTTTCTTAATTTCTTACCACGTAGCACACGTTCAATTTTGCCCCATTGATCATCTGATTGTGAATTTTTCAAACAACGTGCACTGACAGAAATTGCATCCTATAAATGATGTTCTGTTGAAAGCAAACAATATTGAATTCTTAACCATCACTATAGTGGCAACTTAGATAAATAATGGCAACTTAGATAAATAAAAAAAAGATCGAATCTTTAAATGATTTTTTACTTTATATTTTTTGCATAATAAATCCGTACCAAAAATTGTTTCCGTTAATTATCAGGGCTTAACTTAATAATATACTGTGGTCGAACGCTGAATGAATCTCCTATTTTGTTTTCATGATCCATGACTTAACAAAAAGTTCTTTTATGATTTCTCGTTAAAATTGTCAATTCTGTATTTGTTTGATTTTCTTCTATTCAGGACACATTCATCGCGTTTGATATTCATTTTTTCTGAAAATATTCAATCAGCTCATGTCATAATATATTTAATTAAATGTTTAAAATTGTTGAATAAATGCATTGCGATTTAAAAAAATATCTTTTTGGTTTGAAAAGGAGATTAGACTACAAAGGCATCGGACGACGATGCGCCATTCCGATGTAAGCTTGTTCGATAGCCTGTTCTACAGGATTCAAATATACATGTCGAATCATGGCGAATTCATGTCAAATTCGCCATAACTGAAGTATCGATTTCTCTCGAAAAGTGGTTTATGCCGACAACGGATGTAGTTAGGTGGATATGGGAACAATTCAAGCTCTCACTGCCGAGGTAACAGATGGATTGAAATCCACGAAGCAGCGATTCTAGACAAAAAGTTTTCGAGATTCAGCATACAGTTTTGAATAATGTGATTTATCCTTGTTCTAAAAATTTTGATTTTAAAGCGTCGTATTCAACTTCGAAATGTGAAGTTTATAGATTTACGCAAATGAAGATGTCAAAAACTGCTCGTGACTACTAGTGAGAACCGGCGCTGCTATGAAAACGTATACAGTAAGTTCGAAACGATTACTAGTTTATGTTGATTAATTTTCCTAAATTTCTTGCTGGGCTTCCTCGAATGTTTTTCACCACAAAAACATGACTGTGCTACAGCGGATGCGTGGCATCCTCAATGACTTCTACTTCCTATTCTATTTGGCTCAACTAACATACCATGGTTCTATTATGCCCTGATTAAGCGCAACCCAGGTATGAGTCGTAGCCAAACTTTCCGCGAGACCAAAAAACGCGGGAATTACTGGCGCAACCGTTGAGGATTTAGCCGGTAGATGAGCGCCATTTTGTTTTAGTCTCGCGTTATATTGAAGGTAATCGTGACTGTGTGATGTTATCATCGCTGATGTATGAATATATATTTGCGGTAAATTTGAAAATGCTTCTAATAACTATGAACAAAGAAAAATCATGTAGGAAAATATATTATACATGCATTCATACAATTGGTAATTAATAGTGCCATCAAAATGAATCGCTTTGAATTCTATAAGCATTGTGTTCTGTAAATCGACAATTAAAATTTGATTAAACATTTCATTTTGGTGTCAATAGGTAATTCAAAATAGGTGTTGGATTCAAAACTAAAAAACCGAGACGGACAACTCAAAATAATTTGTAATAATATGTGCTATGTGTAAAATATATTTCGCATCTTTTTGTGTGTTATATTTTGACACATTTCTGATATAAAGTCACGGTTAAATTCAAGTGAATGAAAGTTTTCATTAAATCAAGAACACAGCATCTCTCAACATCTAACCAAATAGCGTTTTCTAGTGAATAGAGCGTCATAAATGAATGGAATATTTTATAAAAATACCCTTTGTATCTTAAAATCGTGGGAAAAACAAATATTAAAATATTGAATCACTGAAATACTATGGTTGATGATAACCTATAGATACCTGAAGATGATACCTATAGATCATCTGAATAGTAGCAATAAATTGTTATGTCTGTAACGATAATTTTTTTGCCTGTCAATTTTCAAATGTATGGATTTACAATAGAAGTAATCATGATATTTGATTTATCAATGCGTCGATAAACGGTTCAATTACGATAGTCGTTTTTTTTTTCGCATTTAAAAGTTAAAGTTAGCGTTTGGACGTCCAACTTTGCTAAAGTGAAATGGTGACTTCAAAGGTGTTTGAAGTTCAATTTACCTACGATGACACCGAATTATGCATGGAAATTTAGCTGAACAACGAGAAAAATTCCCAAGAGTACCTCACGAAATGTACAGACTGTATTTATCGAAACAAAGAGGTGCCACTCTGAGTCAATGAAAAAATACCATGACGCCACTTCTTATAGTACTATAACATTACAGCACAGCCTAGACTTTATTAGTTTGTTTTTGAATTTAATTTATTACAATTTATGCTGCCCGACGTAGAAATTCCCGATGAGGCGCATGAGCAGTATTAACCAAACATTTCTCCCAGTCGAAAAAACGGGCAATCCAGAAGTATGTGTATGGAGGTAACTAATTTTGTTCGCCCATTTTACATCAGGGACGGAAGCCCATGGGCAGGGGGCATATTTACTTGGATAACACAAACAGTCCCTGAACTCGTAATAGAACTGAAACAAGGAAAATCGGTATAAAATTATGGCCTAACTCTAACCTGGTACACGTACTACAAAAGTACCAAAAAACGATCTACGTTAACTGGTCAAATAATTCGGCTTTTTTTGCAAGTTCAGACTTTGCCAATAGCGTACTTCGACAATAGCACGGTTTTATGTTTTGACACAGAACGTGCATTTGACAACACACAAAAATAGCTTCAAGATATTTAACGTTCCTAGAGCATTCATCATTTTTTGTGCATAATAAATATTCAATTGAGATTTAATTTTTCATATGGCAAATTCGCTGTCGAAATGCTCGACAAAGTATCCCCAAGAAAATATTCGACGCAAATCGTTCGCGGTAAAATGTATTGCATCTTTTCAATAAATCAAGCTCGATTTATACATCGGTTTTATTTATAATTTTAATTTTGTATTACAATCAAATGTAAATATACCTCGCTTTGTATTATTATAATTTTTTAATTATATAGATCGGGATCCTAAATACGGTACTGTTTACTCACTCTCACTCTCAAACGATGGGAAGCTATTTTAAAATGAAAATATTTGTTAGATTTGATCTTGCTCTGCTTAATTTGGATATTTACGTTCCATCCACGTATTTTCAACGTGTTTTTTAAATAAAACTTTCGCCTCACTATCTGTTATTTGTAGCTTATTGTTAGCAAGGTATTTTTGAGGTGAGGCGTGAGACTTGATAAATTCCTAAAAAGGAGCGCGGCTTAAAAAGTTCGAGAATCGCTGCTCTATAGCAACATACCAAGTAAGCAGAGCCTTCATCCGAATATATTTAAAATGAAAAATAAATTACACAATATCGTTGAAATTTTACAAATAAATGGAATCAATTGAACGGATCAGATTTCTACGATATTTCTGTCATCAGTTTAATTGATCTCACTTAAAAGTCAATCAATACCTTTTCATAAGCATGAAGTTATTGCACTAAGATTTTCATATTACCTTGAATATTTATTATTCATGCCGAAGTTATCCATACTTCCAATTTGATCGATTTTTTTTTTTGCGAGATGTATGAGACGTAAATAACTCGACTAAATATTATTACGAATTAATATGCCACTTGCTTTTTATGATGAAAAGTTCCACCCAAAAATTAACCGCCATATCGTCGCAAAAATTAGTTTTTTTTCATTTTTGCACAATAAAACGGTTTACTTTGAGGAAAAATAAACGGTTATTGGTGATTCAAATTTAGTATACGTATTTATTGAATTTTAAAGTTATTTTGAAAAGAAAAGTATTTTACTGTTTATTCCGTGGTGTCATATATTTTGTCAATTTGGCAAGTTTTAACGAGGAATTTATATTTTCATCGCATTGAATTAGATAAATAATTGGGAAACTTCATTTATATCTGTGCAGTACGAATTTCTAAAATATTTTCTTGAGCAAGAACGAATCAAGAACGAAATAAATTATAGAAAATTTTTCTACAACATAGTTTTGTTACATTTTTAATTCAAATAATTTAATATTTTAAATACAAAGAATTAAAAATTACGAATAAAATCTATTTTGTTACTAGTATTTAATCATCAAGTACAAACTATTCCTAGACGATAACGGACACCACCTGAAACCATTAAACGAAACTGACGTAAAATCTCAGCACCTATTCTAGTTCGTTGACTAGTGCTGGCATCCGTTAAGGTGGCGAGTCATCAAAATGGCGGCATGGTTGTCTGTTACCTTGGTCCACTGCTCAAGTATTTAGTTTGATGACAATTTCATGAAACATATATTTCCTTCAGGAATAATATGGAAATCATAAGCAAATTGCAAAATTTCATGTGCCTCATCGATATTTAATAAAATTTGATATTTTAAACATATATACTTGAGAAAACTATACATTATTTATTATTTAGACCAGGAGTGTGCAAACTGCGGCCCTCGGGCCAAATGTGGCCCGCAAAGAAAAATTGTGCGGCCCGCGGAGAAGTGCCAATTTTGAATGCTGTGCCCGTGGAACGTTTTTTAGTAAAGGTTAATCTGGTACGTGCGAGCAATTTCAATCTCTTTGCGTTGCAAAGCCTGTACCAGTACCCGAGTGTCACTGTCATATTAGCTTTAGAGTTTTAACCCACTATATTTGCAAGGACCCCTAACAATGCCAACAAGGCTATCTTAAATGAAGGCACTTGTATCTGGCCCGCCTGTAATAAATGGTACACACCCCTGATTTAGACTTTTAATTTTATTTAGACTTTCATTTAAAAATTTGGTATTTTTGAGCCGATACTTGTCTTGCTGAATTTGTAGTCGCAACTTGAGTAAATTTCAATTTATAATTTTACCAGAATGATAAATGAATAAACGACATTTTTAAAAGAATTACTAAATTTTTCAATTGTTTTTTATGCATAGGCACGCATTTGAATTCGTACTTCCTTTTATTAGAAATTAATGCTACATGAAAAGTTCGAACTAATTTTCTCCGTAACGTCATACGCAATAATTAATCGAAACCTTTGGCTGGCTCGTAATCAGATATTGTATTTTTCCTGTGTTGCGATTATTACACAAAATGGTAATAAAAGCGTTAAATCGCTAATATTCAATAAATTTATTATTCTTCAATTAATTATTCTAAATAAATATTATGATTCTTACTTCATGTGGTTGTACATTAAGAGGTAAAATTTCAAGTATGAACAATCGTTTAAAGAACCTTTGCCAAGTAGTAAAGTGCAACTATTAATATCAGCAATAAAAATCAGTATTGAGTATCAGTATCAGGACCATCAGTATTGATTAAAGAATTTGGTTTTGAATGTAAATAGCTTATATTTGTGCTGATTCAGTTGTTGATTATCAGTTCACATACAAGATATATTGAATTATTGAAATGTATCCAATTTCTTAAGTTTCCATTTACATTTCAACTTCTCCAACATTTATTGTAT